ATAAAAAGGATAATAAAGAAGATCAGAAAGTAATATATATTATGAAGAACATAGATTTAAATATTAAATAAGATCTTACATTTTGAAAATAAAGAATAAACTTTAGTTGATAAATAAGCAATTATTTAACAAAAAGGACCTTAAACTAGAATATATTGTATGAATATTCAGAAATTTTTTATTGGTTCAATTAAATCATATTCCAAAGAATCGAGTAAATAGATGGAGAGCAGCATTATGTGAATGATAGTTAAAAGGTATGCATAAATCTTCTGTTCAGTCTAAATAGAAAGATTTAAATCTAATTTAAGGTAAATTAAATCATATTACAAATTGGAAATTTAATAATTTTGTATTTGGTTAACAATTAAGCTATCATAATAAAATATATAACACATATGATCAAAATCTATTATAAATATTTAATCATATTACAACTAAGATAAAAAAAGGTTTTTTATCATTTTTTCAGTTAAGGTTATAAAATTACTTTAATTATACAATGATAATAACAAAGAATGATGAAATAATTTGATAATATGATCTATTGTTCCATATGAGATTAATATTTAAAAGAATATATCACAATATAACTAAGTTACTATCTACATGATCTCAATATTCGGTTAACATTTTTCATCAAAATTTTTGATATTCAATAACATTTAAACTAATATTTAATCAATCAGAATTAATTTAATGGCATTTTTTCATTTTTATTCAATTTTTTACAAATTGTAAATTATTACATAAGGAAGTATCAAGTTTACCAAAATAGTCTTGATAATATTCTCAGTTTAAAGATCCCTTAACAAAAATTTAAACTATCAATAAATCATATATTGATTTTATCTTCAAGGCATTTATTTAGAATATATAAAGCAACTATTACAATTCTCTTATATTCTATAAAATTTTATATTATTTAAATAAGAACTTCCAAAAGAATAGAGAGGGGAATTTGAGTGAATTTATAATTTTGTTTTATTTCTATCAAATGATACTCAAAAATCCTACAACTTTTATGGTTTTAAATTTAATCTTTCCAATAATCCAGAGAGCACACGATTGTTAGAAATAATTGAGATTTTTAATCAATATTATTTCTATCTTAAACTTACATAATGATGCATACGTTTATATCAAAGTTTTAATATAAATAGTAAAAAAATTACATTTTAGTACATATAAAATTGAAGGAAATCTTTATTTTTTTTAATAAATAAATATTTATATAAGAAATTTGATTACATAGTGATATATTTTAAATTCAAGTTAAATATAAAATTAATCTGATATATTCACCACTAAAAAACCATGAATTCATTCCTTTAAAATTTATAAAAATGCCCAAATAAGTAAATGTCAAACAGATTTTGCAACCTCTTGCAATATTGAAAAGTTTAATTCGTGGAATATATTACTATACTTAAATTTCAAAGCTTTTTGATTTAATCCTCTTCATTTACAGTTGTCAACGCTTTAAAGTGTGATAAAAATTGTAATGATGAATTGCCTTTATTAAATTCAGTTTGTGGATAAAATTCTTTAACGATGAATTCTTTCTTGTTTTAAGCACTTTGAATAAATTTTAGGTATTTTTTAATAATTATGTTCTGAATAAAAATAATTTATAAGATTATTTTGATTAACAAAAGTAATTTGAATCAATCAAATAGATTTGTAAAAGATTAAGAAAAATTATCCCCATTATTTTTCAAATCTTTGTGATTGAATGTAGATTAAATTGAAAATATCATTTTTGAATGAATCAATTTAATAATCAAATAAAATTAAAAAAAATTTGTATTTGAAGAATGAAAAGATTGTTATCAATTTATAAATTTTTGAAAATATATTATATATGTTTAATTTATAATTATTACTTATATATGATATTTCATTCCATCATCAATTTGGAATATTATCCAATATTTTAACTTTTGATGATTAATAAATGTATACACATGGATATAATTCTTATGATATGGATGTATCTGGTCCATTTAATATACTTATGTTCAATACTTACTTCCATTATGATTCTATCATTAGTTGTATATGTAAATGATAATTTATTACCATCTACATCTTTACATCTTTATTATGATGTGAGTATGTATAACCATCTTAACGTATCATATATGATCTATTATAATTTAATACCTATACACATACCCAACTCCTACATTTTAATAATTATTTTTTGATATAATATCTCTAAATCCAGTTCCAATAAACATATTTGGTGTTAAACTGAGAATTTAGAATGCAAACAATATTTTCCCAGCCTTTGGAATTGCTTATTCACAAAGACAATAATAGTTACTACCACCACCAGTACACTCACAACTTTTCCACCTTCAGTTACTTAACAATTTACACCCTTATAAGTAACACTAAATTATAATGTTTTTGGACATTATTAAAGCTATTACTTTCTCTAAGTCTAATTTTAATTATTTTTCTTTTTATAACTTTTCTTGATTAATTTAATCAAATTGTTTTTAGATTGTTTGTAATTCTGATTCCTTTTAATTTAATCTTTTAATAATTTCTGTAATTTCTTTGTTTTCTATTTATAATAATTATATTGAATACTTTAATCTTCAATATTCTTAATAATATTTAATTCATCTTTTTCATTTTAATTTTTTAGATTGATTATTTCTTAAGTTTTTAAATCAAATTAATCTTTAAATTTAAATTTAATTTTTCATTTGATTGTAATTTTAGATTAATATCATCAATTTATTTTTAATCTAAAAAAAATAATATATATATGAAAATACATTTATCTTATTATTCTTTTAATAATTATTAAGATTATTGATGTTTTTCATCTAATTATTTTGACATTTGATTTTATATATTTGTTTCTATTAATTAATTTAATTAAATTACTTTACTAAATTTGAATTTAATTCATTTAATTTTATTAAATCCATCTCCAATTTAGAAATATTACAATATTTCTTAATTTATTTAGTTTTATTATCAAATGTTATAATATAATCATTTAATAATTTTGATAAATTCTAATATTAAATTTGTATTTATTCTTATTTATTTAAAATTTAATTTTAAATTTTTGATTATATTTAATCTATATTATTAGTATGTTATTAAAATAATGTTATAGTCTAATCAAATAAATTTATTTAACATTAATATTTTTTAGCTTAATCAATGAATTCTTAAATATTCTTAATAAATTCTACTTAATCTTAATAATTATTATCATTTGTAGATAGAATCTTTGATATTTAAGAGATTACTTCTTATAATTATACAATTACATTTCTTTCAACTATAAAAATTTATATATATATAAATTAATACTTGGTATTTCTTTAAGTATATCTATTGATTATTAAATATCTAATTAATCATATTATTTT